CACCGACTGGTCACATGACTCTGAACATCGACAGCGGATCACTCAGGTCTGTGCTGCACACCGAAACATTGCTCATTTGCATATATTAAGACTCTGTGTAAAAAATACTTACAATATACAGGGCTTTTTCTTGTTTTAATTACATCTTTTGTCAGACACGGCCACACATTTGCAGTCCTCTATTGTAGTCTATTATAAACAGCAAAAACACAGCTGAAAGATTTCTTCAAGGCCAAACATGCGGCGAAAAATCACAAATGGGACCAGCATGCCATGAAACTAACTTGGTGTTACACTCTTTATTCTTCAGACATATTCATTGTAATTCTTGTAATTATCAGAGAGGGTTGAGTTTGAGTCCTTGGAAAAGCGAATGAATGATGTGGGGCGACAAGGATGGGTGCTTTTGAAAACTGCTGTATGAAAAAATACACTTTAAGCTTATTGTTATAGGGAGCACCTCAACTGAAGAAATATTTATCAAGTATAGAAAGCAAAAGATGGAGTTGATTTCAAAAGGGGAAAAACAAGAAAAGTAGTGTCAACAGGAGAAACTACTGTACTACACTGACTTCTCTGCAGCACTGTCTTGAAAGGAGCTATGTATAAAAGGGACCATTTATAAATTGGTATTTTGTCCCTTGCTTTATCCCCAATCCAAACCTTAACCAAATTAGCTGTTCCTAACACTGACCTTAAGCCGATTGTGATCCTTAATTGCAAATTTGATACAAAAAAGCAACAATATGCTTTTTGAGTGTTCCATGTATAAAAGGCATTATTATTGTGGTGGCAGCATAAAAAAATATGTTAATTCTGCCATTCCAGGCGATGGCAGCTAAAATAATTGGTGGGTTGACTGTATGCAAAATTATACATAGGTTTTAAATTGGATAAAGCATTTACATTGTAGCTTTCAACAAGACAATCCATGTTTTAGCAAGTAATGCAATGTTATAGTGTTATTTATGCCAAAAATGCAGTTAATTATCTAAACAAATACAAGTTTTTAGATAAGTGTGGGATATGGGAACTTTACAGTCCCAAAGGAGAAGTGTCTCTGTCCTGTTTCATGATTCAGTGTGTTCATGTTGCTAACTTTTTTCAATGACGTGATCTTACTTGTGATATTTGTCATTTGCCATTGTTGGCACTTCTTCCCACTCCAATTAGATTTTTGTTTTTAAAATAGCATTAATATTTCAAATTCAAATAAATGATAATCACAGTGGAGTCACAATTGGTAATGTATATTTCTTAAAGTATCCAAATCGAGTTTGTAATTCTTGTAGCGTGTCATCACTGAAAGAAATACAGAAACGAGAGCACAAAAGCGGCCCTGACCTCAGACCTTCAGTGTTTCTCTGTGATGCATTGTGCTCGTTCTGCCTCAATGACATCTTCAATTGTACACAGTGACACTATGGCTGATTCAGTTAGAAACACATTTTGGTTCATTTTTTGCATCTTTCAGGTGCTACAAAAAGAAACTGCCCACACAGACTGGCACATCATTTCACACATTCTGACACCTGGAAATAGAAGTGAGGAGAAGTGCATTCAAACAGTTGTCTGCTTGTGCACAAAGTATGTCAGTGGGATTCATGGTATCTCTCGCACTCAGGCAACAGCTGTGTGCGTAGTGTAGGTAAGAACCATATAACAGGACCTTGAGGCAAAATAAAATCAACACAATTCAACTTCAGGTCTATAGGGGAGTACATTTTATTACATAGCTATTTTTTTGTGGCTTTGAAGTCAAATACCCCGGCTATAAGAGGCCAGTCGATTGACAACCCCTGAATTTTATTGAAGAGACAAAAATAATATTAATAAAATGAAAATAATAATTGGATTAGCGTGTCTATGTGTCTCGAAGTGTTGCATGTCTATAGCTTCGCACAGAGCAGCTGACAGTCTGTTTTCTATGTCTCCGCTTTTGTAAAACACTTGTCAAAAAGAGAGAAGAAGGAACACACACTGAGTCTAACACAACAGAAGAGACTTCAGCTGGATTTACTACATTTCCATGATGTGACAGAAAAGCCCCTTCCTCTTCACAGCAGATCTTCATCATCTACATGTTTACATGTAGATGTGTGTGTATGTGTATCTGTTTATATGCATGTATGTATGTATGAATATACTGTATACACATATACACTTATTAAAGGATAACTACAGTATCTTATGACTATCTGTCTGTAAGATACAGTAGTAAAGAGTGGGTAAATGAATAGTGAGAGCTTGTGTGAGTGTGTGGCATGAGTGGTGTGTGTGAGTGTGTGTGTGTTAAGTATTTGTAGTATTATCATTTTTACTTTGATTTGTTGTATTATTATTACTATCTATTATTATTTTTTTTTTGCTGTTATAATCATTTTGTTTTTGTTTTATTTTAACTTGACTGTATCTACTCTCCTATGTTCTTTGGATATGATCATGAGGACCCCCCACGAAAACGAGATGATACATCTCATGGGGTTTATCCTCCAATAAAATGTCCATAAATAAATAAATAAATAAATCTTCTATAGGCTAGACTAGAGGCCGGTTTCCGAATAATGTCACAGCAAATGCAACAGTGTCCAAAGCAACAAGGTTTTCCATCTATTCTAAAATTGCTTTGGTGATGATGGGAAACCAGTAATCGGGCTGTGTGGCAGCTCAAAACACAGGAAATGGCCGCAAATGTAACTCTGACCACAAAATACAAAAAAGCTCTGTTTTTCAAAGCTCATAGTTTGCCCACAATAGTAATAATAGCATGTCAGCTGTGAACAAAATCCATGGCAAAAGCAAGAACACACTTCTGCAACTTTTCTCACAGACCTTAAAGCTATACTGAATAAACACAAAATATCAGTTGCTACATGATTACTCTCAACATAAGTTTTAGTGCTTACCAGATGTTAAAATATTTCCACCCAAAATACATGTTTCACAAAGTGTAACATGCACAGATATTGATATATCTAATTAAAGTTGCAGCAACAGACTGAATGGTGGCCATCAGGTGTATGGCACCCGCTAAATCCAACCATTTCATTGACAATTTATCTCAATAGTTATTTTTTATTGCTGAAGGACCTTCTCCCACATTGTTTAGTATGAGTCCATGCAGGGGCTCAGATGGCTCAGATGGGCAGCCTTGCTTCTCTCAGTCAACCCTAGGGCAGTTGTGGCTACAGCAGTACTTTTTGTTGAAAAATGCCATGTCCAAACATATGCATTGCTTGTTTTTAAACAATAGATATACTTTCATAAAGGTTCAGAGGCCTATTTGTCTCTACCATCATTTCAGCGCTCATGTCCATTATGTTGGTAACTGTTGATTAGAAAAGCCTTCTTCAATCATGTTTGCCCAAAACCTTTGAAAGGAAATTCAAAGCCATATTGCGGTGCATTCAAGGCAAACAGGGAGAAGTTACAGATTTCCCCTATAGCACTAAACATATAAAATAACAATTATATTCCAAATTCCATTATGTGAGCAGATTGGCTCATAAAGTTGGAGTGTATTGTATTTTCTGAATCCCATTTGCAAAACCCGGGCAGTCCAAAGCACCTCATACACTTGTAATGTCCTCCTAACAGACACAGGCTGACCCCCTGTAATGAGTTTTAATACAGGATCAGATTACCGTTTGCAGCTATCCAGAAACACTTCCCGCAGCAGACTGGGACCACCTGCTGAATATTGATCGCCCTCACTATGGCTGCAATTAGTCGGTGTCCCGGTGCAACCTCTGGAGCATGTTAAATACAGAGCTGCAGAAGAGAGGTTAAGAGGTGTGGGAGAGGATTAACGGTTTTACAGGAACAAATTGAAAACGGAAGAGAATACCTTTGTAAATTTATCTCAGACACATTTGAATACCCTTACTGGTGCACTAGAATCTCCCACAACGGGAACTTATGTATGGTTCATTTAAAAAGATGATGCTACAAAAGACTTTTTTAATTTTAGTGTGTCTTGATTGTAGGACCTCATCTCTGCATTTATCTTTTTGTGCTGCTATAGATCTAATTTTCTTGCTACTCAGAGATTGGAAATGCCAGTTTAAAGAATCTTTATTTTGGTGGAACTGAAAAGGTCATAACCACAGGCTATTTTCCTGACTTCATCTGTCTTCCTCAAGCACCTTGGCTTTCACTGGACAAGCAGATATTAATAAGTCTGAGGGCAGAGGGGCTCCCAAATTTTTCTTGCCGTGACATTTAATAGGACCTCATGGGACTTTGCACTTGTTTTTAACAATGAAATATAAGCTGTGCAGGAGAACCTTTAGAACAGTATCTCCAAGTATGAAAAGCATCCATCACTGGTTCAAATGTGCTGTGTCAAGAAATCCAATCACCTAATTCCCTGAAACTACACACTTATGTCTATTTGTTTCAGAAAAGTTCTTCCAGTGACTAAAATGCTGCCATTTAAAAAGAAAAAGAAAAAAATGAACTGATGAGATTCTACATTCTTCACTGCTTGGAAAAATATGGGTTTAATGACTTTGATGATTCTCAAGTCATTATTTGTCTTCATTCAAATCGGACATTGCGAACATGACCAGTGCCTTTACATAGGTCTACTTTCCATGTATGTGTACAATTAATATACTGTAAACCTTTATTTTTTTAAATTACCTATGTACAATGCTCTATCTTTTCTCTTTATCTCATCTAGATCTTCAAGAAAAACTTGTTTTCTTTTGCTTTCCGATCTTCCCTCTGTAGTCTTGTCCCATATTTGTACACCACTCATCACATCTAAATATAGCCTTTTCTAGCTGCTATGAAAGAGCCAGATATTAAAAACAACAAAAAGACAAAGCACAACAGAATGTAGCTTCCACCGAGACTGTGCAGCTGTCGCACACAGAGAGAGGTGCTCCAATCGTCCCTGGGGCTAGTGGTACAAAAGACCCCGGTCACTCGTCTGGAGCCGGGGGGCTTGGAGGTTGCGCGACAGTGTTGAGCTGGTTCTCGGTGGGGGCCACTAGTCATAAGGCCCCTTCAGTGAGAGCCTCCATGGGTAGAGTGGTGGCGTTGTCGGTGGGCTGGGGGTCGTCCCGTGTGTGTGAGAGGGCGCGGGCAGAAGCAGCGGCGGCAGAGGCCAGGCTGGCGTAAGGCAGGTGGCAGTCCATGTGCAGGAAAGGTGGGTAATGCTGGCGATAGCAGATGTAGGCGAAGAGGAGACCAATCACTCCTCCGACAACGGCATCTGAGAAATAACAGGGGATAGGGACAATGGGCCTCATTCACGAATAACTTCGTAAGAAACTTCTTAAATTTCTTCTCAAGTCGTTCTTCAGTAGATTTCTAGGAAGACCCTATGTGGGATTCATCAACGCGCTCGTAAGGCGCTGAATTGTTCGCAGCTGTTCTCTTAGATTGATGAATCTCCTCGTAAGTAGAGCGCGTGTGCCCGGTGCCTCATTAGCATAGGTAACCGCCCATTAATGCCCATATAAGGGACTGCAGGGCCGTGTGCAGACGCCAGAGGAAACAGCAACAGCCCTAAAGCAAAGAGTTACACGGAGCAAAAGAGTCATCCTTTTTTCTTCTTTTGCCAGACTGAGAATAAAGTTATAAAATGTTGACTTAAAAGTTGAAATATTATGAGAATAAAGTCGAACTAGCAAAATTATGAGATTAATCTCAAAATATGATGAGATTAATCTCAAAATGTTATGATCTTAATTTAAAAATATATTATGTATTAATTTAAAAATGAATCTCAAAATGTTTTGAGATTAATTAAACCCGTATGGAGAGACTAGTGCAGACCCGTATAGATCCATAGGAGAGACCAGCGCAGAGACTCAGCGCGGACCCAGTAACCTCCTGCAGCAGCAGTATATATGCCATTGTTCTGTGGCCCGTGGATAAAGAAATGCCCCCATAAATAGGATGGGGTCACTAATACACGGCAAGATTTCCAATATATTTGATAAAACGTTGGCACATTTTATTTCAAAATGAATTAAAAAATAGGCTAAATTACCATCAACAAATAAATAAATACATACATCAATATGACGGACACATCACTGTAATGTCGTGTTTTATTGAACTTCATAACACCAGCGTGTGAACATGTCGGCACAGAATGTGCGCACGAGTGCTCCTGAGCATTCGTAGGATTTGTACATAAATTGATTAGTTGCTTGGATCATGAAAGGTCAGTGAACATGGGATTTTTATACATCGGACACAAACAAAGCTCAACTGATGCCCCTGGAGAACATCTTCATAGAAATGGCTTGTTACACATGGGGTTATGTGATTTACAATCTTGTGAACACGTTTTGATTTCATAAAGAGCAATTTTAAGTCCACGATTCTTTGATTACAAAATTAGTTGAGAACTATTTTAGTAATCGATAAGCTGAGATTGTATTTCTATGGTAATTTTAACCATAATGTTTCCTCTCTTGGTTTTTAAGCACGTTGAGTTGCACTGGGTATGGAGTATGCTTTATACAGTAAATAAACTTGCCTTGCCTAGATGTTCTTGGACAGTGTTTCTAAAACTATGGTCCAGGCCACACTAAAAGAGAGCCTCCAAAGGTTGTCGAATTCACAAATATGTATGTGAATATAATAATAATGAATAATAATAATAATAACAATGGGCCTCATTAACGAACCGTACTTAAGAACAAATGTGTGCGTAAATCCTACTTACGAAGATTTTACGAAGATTGTGGCGTTCATGAAATTTTCTCGTAACCAGAATTTCTCTTGGGTAAGTACAAATCCTACGAATGCTCAGGAGCACTCGTACGCACATTCAGTGCCGACATGTTCGCACGCTGGTGTTATGTAGTTCAATAAAACACAACATTACAGTGATATATCCGTCATATTGATGTATGTATTTATTTATTTAATTGTTAATGGTAATTTAGCCTATTTTTTAATTCATTGTGAAATGAAATGTGCCAACGCTTTATCAAATACATTGGCAATCTTGCCGTGTATTAGTGACCCCATCCTATTTATAGGGGGCATTTCTTTATCCACGGGCCACAGAACAATGGCCTATATACTGCTGCTGCAGGAGGCTGCGGGGTCCGCGCCGAGTCTCTGCGCTGGTCTCTCCCATGGATCTATACGGGTCTGCACTGGTCTCTCCCATGGATCCATACGGGTCCGTGCTGCACGCCCCTGGATCCATACGGGCCCTCGCTGGTCTTTCCCATCGATCTATTACAGGACCGCGCTGGCCTTTCCAGTCTATGGTCTTTTCGGTCTCTCTTCAGTCCGCGCTGGTCTCTGCGCACCGGTCTCTCCAGTATTCAGTCTACGGCCTCTCCTCGGTCCGCGCTGGTCTCTGGGCGCCGGTCTCTCCAGTCTATGCGGTCTCTCCTTGGTCCGCGCTGGTTTCTGTGTGCTGGTCACTCCAGTCTCTCCTCGGGTCTGCATTGGTCTCAGCGCTGGTCTGCGCTGGATCTCCTCCCATAGGGTCCAAAATATTTTGAGATTAATCTCAAAACATTTTGAGATTCATTTCAAAATTAATACATAATATATTTTTAAATTAAGTTAATAACATTTTGAGATTAATCTCATAACATTTTGAGATTAATCTCATAACATTTTGAGATTAATCTCATATTTTTTTATTAATCTCATAATTTTGCTAGTTTGACTTTATTCTCATAATATTTCGACTTTAAAGTCAACATGTTTTATAACTTTATTCTCAGTCTGACAAAATAAGAAAAAAGGGTGACTCTTTTTGGCTCTGTAACTCTTTGGCCTGTTGCTGTTTCCTCTAGCGTCTGCACACGGCCCTGCAGTCCCTTATATGGGCATTAATGGGCGGTTACCTATGCTAAGTACCTATGCTAATGAATCACCGGGCACGCGCGCTCTACTTATGAGGAGTTGGCATTCATCAATCTAAGAGAACAGCTGCGAACAATTCAGAGGCTTACGAGCGTGTTGATGAATCCCACGTAGGGTCTTCTTAGAAATCTACTTAGAAACGACTTAAGAAGAAATTTAAGCAGTTTCTTACAAAGATATTCGTGAATGAGGCCCAATAATAATAGTAATATACATTCTACTTTAAGCTCAATAATTGTAATTTAGATGTATGTAGTTTTGTTCTTATTTAATCTGAAAATGTTTACAGAGATTTAGAAAAGATAGAGCAGGCTCCAGGCCCCAGACTTTGGCCACTCCAAAATGGAACTAGGTGGATGCCAACAGGTTAAGTGCAAGTCAATTGGATTTGCTCTATATGAGAAAATCGAGTGTGTTGTTTAATTACCTTCACCCAGAGGGTAAAGAGATCACAGGCGTTTGTGTGTTTGACTGTGAGCAACACAACACAAACAGTCATGGGAGGATGTGGGTGAAGTGTTGAGAACAAGTTATTAAATTTTGGAGGTAATCCAAATAAACATCTGGATGCAGGATTAGTTTTAAGGAATGGAACTGGAGGTTTTTCAATTATTTATCTTGATATGCGTTCTGCTTATAGTTTATTTTTCTGATTAACGATCACACAGCAACACACAGCCCAGACTAGGCCACAGGACCAACACATAGGAGGAGCATTCCCACCTCTCCAGCAGCCAAAGCTAATGGAAGAACTCAACTCTAATGAGACACATCACACATAGATCTGGACAAATTCAGAGCGACTGTATAACATATGCACCAAACAGTAAACTCTAGGAAGTAAAGATAAGCTTTGGAGCAGCTCAGTGGACTGATGGAGTGACCAGTGTCTCACCATCCAAGGCTCCAATAATGGTCCATATCTGCTTCATGCTATAGATATGTTATAGTTTTGCTTGAAATGACGCTCAGTTTGTTTTAAAACATGATGATTTTAGTTCTTAAAAAACTAAAGTGAGCATCTCCACAAATATAAATTGTGGAAAAACGTGGGCCCATGACAAGGACATTTGAGGAATGCAGCTTTAAGCCTTAAAAAAGTACATTTGAGTTTGTTTCCTTTAGGGCGGCACACTTCTTAGTTCTAAACGATGACTAGATAAAATGTATTGATGCATTGTATAATTTCTTCTTGCATCTCAGAGCAGGTGATAAAAGACAATACAATGTGTCTGTCACATTTGGCTCCCCTTCGCTAGGTTTATCATCATCACAGAGTACTTCCTGTTTGCACCACCAGCAGCACTCGCCTTGAAGCTACGATTTATCACATACCATCAGCCATAAGGTGAATATAAAGTCATGCTGCTGAGTATAGATCAGCATGACAGGGCCATCTGGCAGCAGTCACAAGAACCCGGCACATTTGAAAATATAGTTTTCTCGATATCCTCCTCTGGATATATGGATGTATAATGTCCAATTGATTTGCCTTTATGGTCTGTGAACACGCCATTAATATTTCATGTCTTTAGTGAAATGTACTGATATACAGTAGCACTAAGTATCTCTGTGCTTGCGTTTATAATGTATTGTGTTTTTTTCCAAAACTACATAAATGTAATGTATTAGTTGGCTGCAGACCCGTTGTGGTTCATAACATAACGATTATGGCAACAACAAAAAAATATAGAAGCATTTATCAAACGTGGTTTGATTCTGGTAATGATGTGGTGTGAGTCTGTCTGCTAATGTGACCACAAAACCCTATAATCCCTAGAAAATATCAAAATCATCTACATTCCCTGCCCCTGTTCATACATTATTTTTGATACAATGGGAGACACATGGCAGTGGAGCGGAGTGGAGTTTGCATGTTCTCCCTGTCTGCATAGGTTTCTTCCAGGTGTTCCGGTTAGTGGTACAATCTTCCAGCTCCGGTCCTAATCAAGCCGTGCATCAACATCTGGAGATGGGTCAACGGCCCGAATGCTGTTGCAGGATGGGTCAAAAGCAGATGACAAATTGCCCAAAGGGGATCAATAAAGTATACCTTAAAAGTGATGAAGAAATGTATCTACACTTCAATGTGTTCTTTTTTCTCTACACTACGGCGTGTAATGTAAAGTAAAGACATTAGTCCTTGTATAGTTGCTTTATGTACCTTCTTACTCACTGTTTCCTCCCCTTGTTCAGTAAGTTGCAATGGATGACCGTGGTGACCTCAAACAGACAGATCCTCCTCCGGACATGAAAGTGCTTAGTGCAGTAGCAGAGGCTGCAGGTTATCGGTTTCCATCAAACATGGCTGATGGCGCGGGCTAATGGCGACACACAGCTTGTGTTGGTACAGGAGCAGATTGGGCCCCTCAAGTTTAATGGGCAGAACCAACTTCCACTTACAGCCTGCTCACAGAGGGATGAAACTACAGCTGCAACTGGGGACTGCCCTGGGAAAAGCCTTTTTACTGTGTACTAAGTCACTGTTCTCTTTCATTTTCAGCCTATAACGTGCTAAGAAAAATACATCTAGCTGCGTCCTTTCAATGTTTTCCTTTTTTAAATAAAAACTACAATCTTTGCACACAATGTATAAATGTATGTAAAAATCTTGCATATAGAGTTGTGAGTAGGTCTATAGAGATTGAGAAAAGGCCATTGTCATTGTGGCCACTGCTGTGTCGATATGTCAATAAAGCCAAAACGTAAAGTAATCTGATTTATGTCTTTAAAATAAAAATCAATAGGGATTTTCAAATAAATAAAAAAACAATAATTAATTTTGTCGAATCATTGTATTGCAAAATTGACTGGTTCTGGTGGAAATATAGGCGAGTGAGTTCTCATTTCACACGAGCATATGGCTCAGTAAAACTGATTAACACCACATGACAGAGCTGTCATCCACTGCCACAGGATGTGTCAGCTCTCCCACTCCAGTCCCAGACCCGCACTCTGCAGGAGACATGGAAACTTCAATAACTAACTGACTAACTAATGATCTTAGAAGTCATCCTTTCTCTAACTATGAAACTAAAGATGGAATTATTTGATTTGATCTCATTTGATTTTTTTTTATATAAAATAAATTTGTGGTCACTCTGTGAGTCATTCTGCCACAAGTAAAACCAGAAGCTGAAGGCAATTACGAGAGGCGGGATATTGGTTAGAAAACGTTTTAGTAACAAGAACTTGCATTTTGCTCAAAACATTCATTCATGATTCATTTACAGTCAAAGCTAAATCAATAATCTTTTTGGACCAAAACAAATCTAACGGCAATCTAATCCACTGCTGTAATGGAAGTATTCAACATTGAGACTATTGATGCATTTATATGGCATGTCTTGAAGGTCAGTTGTTATTCATGTCAAACTAAAATCAAAAGCTATTCTTTTTGCAAAAAAAATCTAAATTACTCATTAAGAAAATTATTTTATCATAAAAATAATGTATCTAAAGTAACAATATTAAAATTAATTTTGCCACACCCCTTATCCACACTTTTTTGTATTTGAAAAGTTTATTTCCAAAAAACAGATAACTCCCTTATGATCAAGTTCCTCAAGCTACAGTCTCCAACATGTTTTGTTATTGGCAGTACATTTGAAAGTATTTGGGCATGTAGGGGTGAAACTTATTTGCATGGCACTCAAATATTTCCAGCTTTTTAAAAAAATACTTAAAACGACAACTGTCAGCCTTTCTGATATTTTTCTGCTGTGTAAATGAGTGGTATTCATTTGTCCCTAAAATGAGCACATGCTAGTTCTGGTACGGCCTGGCTCCTGTCATGTAGAGAGAAGCCCTGGTCCCGGTCCAGATGAGCCTCACCTTGCCAGTGGTGCTTGTAGTCGCAGGTGCGGGACAGAGCGATCATCATGGCGCTGTACAGAGGTAGAACCATAGCACAGAGCCTCCAACTGCGCCCCCTACCCTGCTCCGTGAAGCACTGCAGTTTCCCCGCCAGGTAGAACGAGGTGAAGCCAAGGCCGGAAAAGGCGACTGAAAGAGAGAGAGAAAGGTTTGGTTAATATCCTACCCCTCCCAACCATCACAAATTAAATACTCTCCAGTACATCATACATATCTTTTTTATTTAATGGCAATTTTGTTTCTTATTATTAATTTAGTTCTTTTTTAATATTATGTAGATCATTTGACCAAAGGATTGATTTAATTTTTACTGAATCAAATCTGGACGAAAAGTAGATAATGCTTTTTATCGCAGACTGAGGAGAAATGAATAAATACAATATGGGTTCATCATGTGTCTATAAGTAAGTAAATCAGTAAATGATATGGTTGTTTTCTTTGAAGAATTCACTTTAAAATGATAACATGCTATTGTATTAATACCATATTAACTCAAAATCAATTCTCAGACCCCTGTAATACCATTGTGTGCCCCTAGGGATCCCTACCAGTTGGAATACACAAGCAGGTTGAATGTGATTTATTTAAATTTTCATAACTCCCTTTGTGACCACGAACACAAGTCAGCAATCATTTCACGGTAAATCCATCTTGATTGCATCTGATTACCAAGAATTAGAAAACTTCATTTTGTACTGTATCTCATTATCTTCTTTTACACTACTACATAAATTGTGGTCAAATTAATTTAAAAAGGCATTTCCTCTAATCTCTAATAATTCTTTTTGTTTTGTTTTTCAAGTCAGGAGTGAATCCCACGGCAATTCCACAGGTTTAAACACCAGAATTTCTGTATGTGGACTGTTGTGGAAAGTTAAATACATAGAACATGAGGCAGATGGGAGAGTGACAGGTCGTTCTCGTCCTCCCACTCGATGAGAAATGGAGAATCAGCGTGTTAGATAAAAACCAGGCACTGGATCATGTGGAACGACAGGTGCCTCAGAGCAGAGCGAAAACAAACAGCTCACATAACTCATGCTTTCTACGACAACCATATCAAGAGGTTATTCTGGCGGTTACAGGGTCATGAAGAAGGATTACATAATAAATAACAAGTAAATATTGAATAACTTTATCCGGTGCATGTTTCAATCCGGTTTTACTGCCTACTGTATGGGATGAGGGCAGTGCTTCTCAATTCTTTTCATATAGGTGGAAGAAAACATTACAAAATCTGCTCTCAGCTCAAACCATCAAATGGTGACTCACAGGCCTCTTTCTTTAAAAAAAAAAATTGTATTACAACTTTGTGTTCAAAACGTCGTGCCCGAAGGCTTTGACGGCTGGGTATTTAAAACATTATATCAAAGATCTGTCTTTCCTTAACGTCCCATAGTTTATTTTTAAAAGAGCCTAGAGAAGGACAGTCCGACAGTCTTGGAATTTTGTTTAGTAATTTAGTAGCAAATAAAATGGGAGAGCGGTCCAGTGCTCGACTTGTTGGGTGCTCTATGCCCACATGGATCAGGGTTTTGTTCCGTGTTCGGATTTGGGTTCTTTTGATGATTGGACACTTGGATTGGAGAGCCTTTGGGAGTAGTCCATGCAGCAGCTTGTACCCGTAGCACATCACTGCAAAGTTTCTCCTTTGTTTCAATGTGGTCAATTTTAGTTCTTTGTAGTCATCATCAGCGACTGGTTGAGTGTAGGAGTATTGTAGTATGGTCCTAATGGCTCAACGTTGGAGTTTCTCCAAACGGTTAGATTGTGTTACATTGAGAGCAGCCCAGACCGGTGATGCATATACAAAATGAGGCAGGATATGGCTTTTGTACAATCTTGTTAATAGGGTCGTGTCATGAACAGAGAGGGAGAGTCTACGGAGGAGGAACAGTTGAGAAGCCACCTTTCTGCAAATGGAGTCAACTTGTTTGTCAAATTTGAGGTCATTTGTGAACCAACTTAAAAGTATGAAAATAATACATGTACTAAGATGAAGATGGCCTGTTGTGGTCTGATTTGTTTACAATATTTTAGTTTTGGGCACAACCAACAAGCAAAAGAAAATGTAGGTTAGATTGCAGCTTTAATTTAGTGAGTTTCAGATGGAGGAGACATGGGGAAGAGATGGAAACTTCCCGGGGCTCATTATCTTGGTTTGTTTCTTGCAGCAGTGTATCTGTCGCGTGTACACGACACACAAAGACACACACTTGCAGCAAACCGTCAACGGCTGCGCGGTTGCTGTACTGTTGTCAAAGCGGCTGCTCTGTGCTTCTCCAGAATGCAGCTATGGCCAGTGCTCAGCCTCTATCTTTTAAGGGGGATATGCTCTGTGAACTAGTTTCCTCTTTCTGCATTTCAGTGACACAGAGCAGCAGTGCACTAAATCACCAATCATCAGTGTAAAGTCCTCACAGACAGGTTTTTTCTTTGTAAACAAGGATATTCTTCTCATTGTCTTTCCTGTTTGGAAACATCTGAACAGTAAGGGTTGATCTGACGCATGCAAGCAGAAGAGATGCCCAGTGCGAAATTTCTGAGCCTGCTGGAGTGGCAAAGCTTAGCGGAGCGGAAACAGAGGATGTGGAACTGCTGTCCTTCACTAAAAAGCCACCACAATTGCCCAGCAGTCAGAATAGAGTGGTGTCTTTGGATGTGGAATCCTGATTTAGTAACAGCATGTTCCCTGTAGTCCATCGTGCCCCCACTTGTACTGTGCCCCTCTAAGGGATGGATGATTCTTGCCTTGCTCAATGATTTCCAAGAGGGAAGTGCGAGTTGGACAACACATTGAAAAGTAAAATCCCCTTGCTCAGTAACCGTTAGTGTCACACTCACCATTTTGGACTATTATTACTTAAAACATGTGGTTTAATGTCACTAAATCCACATATAAGCCATTAGGAATGACCAGTAAGGTGCCTTCATTTGTGTTGGGAATCTCCAGCGTGCCATAGCAACCATTGTAGCAACAGGTAGTTTGCATCTGCCCCTGTTATGGTGCAAAGCTAACTCCATTAAAAACAATGACTGTATAAGAAAATTAGCTAAAACCAGCATTTTCGGCTTCCTTCGCTATGACATCAGCACAACAGTCTATGCTGCCATAATACTGTGGTTTTTCTTAAAAGAAGAAACACTCTTATGAAGATAAACACAAAATAGATACATTCAAAATAATGCTATTCACGAGTTTCAGGAAACATATTGGTTCTTGATTTGAAGGACCTTCCAAGAAGCTTTCCGCATTCAAAAGATATTATACTTTTTATATGAATGCTATAGCAAAGAAGGACTAGTTTCCCTTCTACAAAATCCATGAACACTACAAAATATTCCACTTCAAGCAGGCAGGGGATAAAGGCACCTTGATGTCACCGTGAATCTATAAGAAATATAGTATTCACAAAACCTGCTCATAATTCAGACCTCTATGTAAATGTAAATGAAACATGCATCAATGTCTGTGTAGCCCTGTCTTTTATTTCCACATGAAACCAACAACAACAATTATTTGAGACATTTCAATTTGAGTTAATTTCATGTTTATATTTGCAGAAGTCCAGAGCTTTGTTCATAACGTAAGAGTGCGATAAGGGCTCATATGTGTGTGTGTGTATTTTATGTACATTTCTTTAGTCACTTCATGATCGAGTTTTGCATTAAAAGTCAAAGGCTAAGAGTGGGATTCAGATGTGGATGTGTCCATTCATGAACTTTCCTCCTGAGCAAAAGAAAAAGAGAGTGGAACAAGCACCGTGAGGTAGGAACACTCAAGAAAACAAGAAAACAAGACACATCCTCGCACTCAATGGACTGAACTCCCTTGGCTCAGTATCAAAAGTTTTTTCTATTAGAGTCTTTGATTTGGTTTGAAAGCAGCTAAACGTTGTTGCTAGGAAAACTAAGAATATTGTATTTTAGTCTATCTTCATTTAAAGCTAAAGCCAGGTTTAGGTCATGGGAGAGATAATTACACCTGGTTATCAATTTACATACTGTATCGAAGGATACTTGTTTTTATTGCAATTCTCATTTGAGTAAATATACTTTAATAATTCAGGTTACTGTTGCCCAAAGAGTAGAGTTTTTACAGCGATACACATCTATTCATGTTCACTGAAACACTGAAATGTATCCACTGTGGACGAATAAAGGTTCTTTTATCAAGCATAACTTTGTATAATACATTTTATCACAGTAAAAAAAAGGTAAAAAAAAACATTGTGGGCAGCATTAAAACAATAATGGAAAAGACTTAAAATCAAGTCTTGTGGTTCACATTTTTACAAATTGCAGAGAGCAGAGGGAATATAGCAACATTTACTTAAAAGTAAATAATAACAATAATAATTCATCGGTTTTATATAGCACTTTTTTGGACACTCAAAGACGTTTGTCATACTGTAGCCACAGCTGCCTTGGGGCACACTAACAGAAGCGAGGCAAACAGTATGTGCCAACGGCCCCTCTGACCACCACCAACCATTCACACACACACCAGACTCATTCTAGGCAATGGGGGTGAAGTATCTTGTCGCAGGACACACTGGCATTTTGGCACTTTACAGCAGTCCCACTGTGGCACATGGTGTTCCCAGAGTGTCTTGCCAAGGACACAACAACAGCAGACAACAGTGGGAGTTGGTTGAGAAAGTCTTATGGTGGGCTCAAACCCACAACCTTCAGGGTCAAAGGCCAATGCTCTACCAACTGAGCCACTGTCGCCCCAAGGAAGAGGATTTTTGACTTCCGGGTGGATCATCAAAACTATTGGTCCGCCCAATTGTCAATCATGGTGATATGTGCTCGTCAAATAAGAGAGTTTTGTTCAGAATGTGGAGAGGAATAGAAATCCTCCAATACCTTTGACTCAGGTTTGTGTAAATTACTAGCAAATACAGTTTTGGAAAATGATTGTAAAAATATAAATCGGAGGGAAAAAAATTACTTGTTTATTTCACATTTTCAACTCTATTTAAACTAAATTATTCTATGACCGTGGAGCCAATGTGAGTGAGTCTATGTGAAAAGTGCAATAATGTGGTTTGGGACCGGCTTTTAAATGGATGTCTGGAGTGAACCGAGCAGCAGTTATCAGGACACGCAGATGTCCATGTGTC